TTTGACATCAATTGTAGGCAGCATTACTGAATGGCTTAGTCGTAGGTAATTAAGCAGATGGTATCTTTTGAGTACTTTAAAGAGACAGGATTAGTTAACACGCAACTACATGGGCTCAATGTTAATCTTGTCTCTCTTTTGATAGTCTAGACTAATAGAGAGACACAGATGTATAATACTTTTGACGAAGTACATTGTGATTTTGGCAGGGAGGTTGACACACTGGAGTGACTAGAGAAATATGGACACCTGGCTGGCTGATTAACCGATGGGCCGATGTCATGAAGAGAGGTAGTTTTTGGAGTCATGCAATATCTTAGTTCTGTCTTGGTTCACCTGATCTGTGCTGGTGACATTTTGGTGGATTATGTTGAAGGCATAGTAGGTATGCTTATCAAGCAAACAATGATATAAAAAGAATAGGATGAAAAATTAATAGACTGATGATAAAATCAGGATCCAAAATTGTCCTTAAAATGCGAGAATTATCAGCCAAAGGGGGAACAACTTAAAGAAAAATTTCACAGCGATGAATGTTAAGTCTTGATTTTAGGTTAAAAACAAACATTTCACAAGAAGAGGTTTGAGGATATTTGAATTAGCTCACGTGAAAAAGCCCTGGTTTTAATTAACTGTAGTCTCACTCTGAACCAAAGACGTGACTTGGCTGCTATGATTGTAATGCAATCTCACAGCAAATAAAATGTATGGATCAAACAATAACTACCAGTTACTGAAAGCATAATATCTCATATATGTTATCTCAATAACTTTTAAGATTCTACAGTTAGGTATTAATACTTCATTTTACAGATGGGGACATAGGTTCAGAGGAGTTAAGTAACTTGTTCAAGGTCACACAGCTAGTTACTGCAGAATTAGTATTAAAATCTTTCCATTATACTGTGTTCTTTCTCTTGTAACATGAAAAGAACTGCTTGTTCTATTGTACTCTATGATTATTAGCCTAGCATATAGTAGATGACAAAAACAGTAAATGAATGAATAAAGGAATTGAATCTAGGCTCTAACTAAAACACAGAATTAAGTTCCATTTAGAGACCACATTTAAAGGGTGACGTTGACAATTTAAAGTGCATACTGAGAAAGTGAGCAGGGTAGTGGGAGATCTGCTGTATGCATGGTAAGTGGTTAAAAGATCTTGGGATATTTAGTTTAGAAAAGACAAATCAAAGTGGGGAGATGATAGTGATCTTCACCTATGTAAAATACTTTCTCAGAGAGAAATGAATTTAATTTTTTTCTGTATTTATTCATAAGGCTGGTATCTAAGGCAATTTCTCCTCTTTCTAGGAGGTGCTCAAATAGAGGCTGAGTGTAACGACTATGCATTCTTTCAAAGCAAAGTCCTTATATCCCCACCCCAACCCAGGCCCTGCTCAGTACCTGCTTGTCAAAGTGCTGTTGGTCAGGTGTGGGGGAGAAACACTGCTTTGGGTACAAGTAATCTGTATTCACTGACCTCCCGAACTTATTCTGAATGTAAGGTGCCGAATTTTGTATGTTCCACAGTGAATAATTTTGCACCGTCCTCTCCTACTTTAACCTTTATCTTGTCCATCGTATTCTATTCGTGGTCCCCAAAGTGTGGTCCAGAACCAGCATCAGCATCACCTGGGAACTTGTTAGAAATGCAAATTCTCAGGCCCCACCTTAGACATAGTGAATCAGAAACCCGGAGTGGGGACGGATGCCCAGCAACCTATGTAGTAACAAGCCTTCCAGATGATTTTCAGGCCTTCTAAAGTTTGACAACACTGAGTTAGATGTTTCTGGTTGTTCCTGCCTTGGGTGTACACTGGAACTCAATGAGACTGTGGTTTTTGAGGACAGGGCCCTGCCTTATTGTCTGGTATACAGTAAAGATCCAGTATGCATGTACTGAAACAGAACTGAACTAGTTAAAGGATGATGAGCACAGAATTTGATGGAACAAACTCCAAGGATTCGTTATCTTCAGCCAATAGTCAAAAAATCCTCAGAAAAGAAGCCAGTCACCAATGTTGCTTAATAGTTTAGAAATTTGGTTATTTTAATATAATTATCACCAGCTAGATATTGTCCCAAATAAGTGAGGGCACTAGTTACAATCAATTAGCTCATTACATTCTGGAACTGTATTGCTTTAGATACATCATGGTCATTGCTATATAAAAATGGGAAAGTCAGGCTTCCCTGGTGGCACAGTGGTTGAGAGTCCGCCTGCCGATGCAGGGGACACAGGTTCGTGTCCCAGTCCTGGAAGATCCCACACGCTGTGGAGCAGCTGGGCCCGTGAGCCATGGCCGCTGAGCCTGCGTGTCCGGAGCCTGTGCTCCGCAACAGGAGAGGCCATAACAGTGAGAGGCCCGCGTACCACCAAAAAAAAAAAAAAAAAAGGGAAAGTCAAGGATTTTTCAGGATCAAGTTCCTCCAAGGTGTTAATGATCTCCTAAATATTGTATTGAGCCCTATACATACCATTTGGTGACAAAAATATGATTTAATAATGATCCATTTAAATAGACAATTATGGAAGTATATTTGTATTTCTAAAAAGATTCATGCAAATAGAACATGTATAAATAAATTGTATTTTAAAGGTAGTAGCAGGGGGAGAAGCATGGGGCTCACTATGTGAAAAAACCCTTTTCCCAAGTTTTTAGTAGAGCAAAGAACCAGCTCTTAATTTTTCTGATTTCAAATCTCTGTATTGAAGTTATCTAATATGAAGAGAAAATTATAAAATATTTTATATACTATATAGAATGTGCACAGTTAACTTATGTAAATTTAACATATGTATTCAAATGTGTGTTTATACATACTTATCTATTTATCACTCTCTATGCATCTATCTATCCATCTAGCTAGCTAGCTAATGTACAACAGGACAGGTGATTTCACATGCCACTCCACTTAAGGACATGGCCTAGAGAATGTGTGAGATTGGTAACATGGACCCACTCTTCCCTTGGTTGATTCCCTTATGCACCTCGTGGTGCTTCTATTGTGCTGAGTATAATCCTAGTGTTTAAAGATGTTATTTTCGGGTACAATTACAAATGCAAAACAAACCAAAACTACCACCACCAACAACAAAAGCAAAACCTCAAATAAACACAGAAGCAACAGAAGCAGAATGAGGCCCGGGTTTAAGTTCACTTCTCTGGCACCTGGGCTTGGCCAAGAACTCGTCCTGGTCCTCTAGGCCAGTGTTACTCCAGGAGGTCAGCTAACGCCTGGGACACAGGGAGGGTGCGCCTGCATGCTGTCCTGATTTCTGGGAATTGTTCATCTTGGTCATGCTCTGAAGGGTGGGGCTCTGTAACCACCCACAGAAGAATAGGGCCTTGGGGAAGAAGTCTCCTGGAAGCGTTTGTAGGTGTGGGGTGAGAGCCTCAGTTGGAGGTGCTATAGTTCCTTTATGTTTCCATCCAAAAGGAATTGGTGACAAGGTCACAGTTTACATGCCCTGGTGTCTGTAACTCTCATTCTAGTTCCCCAGAAAGAAAGACAAAGACTTCCTTGCATCTTAACACTCCTTCCCCTACCTTTCTTTCCTCCCAGGTCTGTGGTTTTCTGAATCCAAAAAGCATTTCAAACATATGCTTTGGAAATATGTCTGAGCAATGGACAATGTGTCCACAGGGCACAATTTTCTGGGAACCACATGGCTATATGTCCATTAATAAATAGCTTTTTCAAGGCCTCAGCATGAGAGAGATATTTAGATTTGCAGCTCCTTCCTCTGTTTGCTGGAAAATTGCTTCACACCATATCATCACAAAATGCTCTATTTTGCAATGACAGATGTGTATAAAATCTGTGCATGGCTTTAAACTTTATTAATATTGGCTGAGTACCTATGGATACAATCACTCAATAGCATATGTGTATATACTCACTTATCTAGACTGCATTCTTTCAAGAAATAAAGGGCCAGGGACAGAAAAATGCCATTTGTGTAATTTCTACAGAGCCACTAGAGAAAATGTATGACATGGGTAAGCAGACAAAATGTCATTTCATGAAAACTAGAGGCAACTGACTCAAATCTTAGAAGTCTGAGTCATATATCATCTGAAGTCATCAGTATATCATCCTTTTCCCATTATTTATAATTTGCTTCTGCCACCTTTATATTGAAAGTGCTTAAAATTTAAAGTTACACTAATGCTTTGTAACACTTGGGGTGTTCTTTAGAAGAGTAGTTCCTAAATGCTGGGTTTTGAGCGCCAGCTTGGAATGAAGTTTGTATTAGTCTACAGCAAAATGGGGAAAATAAGAAAATGTAAGTTCATTTACATAAACTTAGATTTATTAACCTTAAAGGATTCTCTTCTCTTCATTTTGAGATTTTTTTCTTACAGCCCTACTGGTCTACAAAACTATTTGGCCAATGAGATCTAAAATTATATAGTAAGTAAGTAAAAAATCTGCCCTTATTTCTTTGCTTTTATCTTGTTCTATAAGAAGAAAAAACAAAACAATTGAAAAAAAAACCCTCAACCATTATTCTATCTAATTCACAAGTCTCTTGTTATTGTTTATTCAGAAGGTGTTGGGCACCCACATAAGCCAGGCACTAGGACCATCCTCACCTTTGGAGAAGATGCTCAGTGATCTACATGAAACACAAACTTGATGGAGAGCCTTGAGTTGGGCTGGGTCTCTCTTGGTTTATGTCTGGGTCAGAACTTTCCAATTTCTGGTCTGAGCCAGCAACTCTTGCCCTGTCCTGTACTCAACAATCTCTAGTGTCCAGGAAGGCGGCTGCTACTGCCTGCTGGAGAAGTCTAGGGTCTATAAGTCTGGGACTTTGATCTATAGACATTTCTGACAACATTCTGTTCTCTCATAAGCTCGATGATTTCTTGGACAATAAAAATAAGCACAACGGGGTCTCTGTTTTTTTGTGGCCCTGCAAACAAAATCAATTGATAAGGCATGCCATGGTATAAAACAACCCCAGGAGGCATGTACCCATGGGAACACACCTTTCTGAAGTCACTCGTATCCTCTCATCATTGGACGAGTTGAATCGGTCATCCTTTTCTCTGAAATATTCCTCTATGCACTGCTCTTCAAAATCATGTACTTTCTTGAGCTCATCATCAGTTATGAAGAGCTCTGTGGAAAAGAAATGAGAGATATGAGGCAGAGAAGTAAAAGCGATGGCACCTGACTTGTGGGTCGAATGACATTCCTAATCTAACTCAAGGTTAGGGAATGGGGCCCAGATTCTTCACTGAGTCTCAAACTAAATCCAAATCTGGTCAGGCAACTTGTGTCACTGTCCTCTTTCTCTGTGTTAGATTCATTATGGGTCTCTGAAGCTCACCTGAGTATACCTGGTTTACTGCAGAGACCGGTTAGAATTATATATATCGTAAGGACAAAAATATAGCTAAATAAAGGAAAGGGAAGCTATGCAGAGAACGGAGGTTTCTTAAAAACTCAACTTCTGGGCTGAGGAGTGTGGCAGACAGACATTGTTCATTCACCTTACTAAAAGCCCTTTGCAACCCAAGTTCCTTCTTCCCTCTTCCCACTACTGAGACTGGAAAGCCAAATACACATTTCCAGTGTCCGTTCAAGCTAGCAACAACCATGAGACCCAGTTTGGCTCAAGGAACAAAAAAAACCTGCTGCAGGAAAGGGTTGTGTAGAGAAGAGATTTTGCTTTCCTGATAAACTGTAAGTATGTGGCTGTAAGATAAACTGTAAGTATGTGGCTGCTTCTTTCTACCTTTTTTCCCCTTCATGCTTCTTTCTGCCCTGAACATGAATGTGATGACTGGAAGTGCAGCAGCTATTTTGCTACCATGAGACAAGACAGTGTGACAAGGAATAGCTGACTTGGGGTCTTTGACTTCAGTGAGTCATTGTTGAGCTCTGGGCTATTTATTTACCTTTTCACTTTTTGTTGTGTGAGAAAAGTAAAACCTTACATATTTGTGTTACTGTTAGTCTGGTTTTCTATTTATAGCTGGTAAACAAATTCATAACTGATTCAGTGGCAGAAAGAGCCCAGTGGAAATCTGAACCTTTTCTCCCCCTGAGCTTCTACTTGCCTAAATGGGTGTTTCAAATGGAAATAGTGAATTTTGGAATTCTTAACTCCTCTCCAACTTTCCAATTTTAATGTCTCGAAAGAAGTCAGGCATTGCTGTGTCAGAGAAGTTGTTAAAAGCTTCAGACTTAGAGAAGCAGTTGATTATTAAGTGGCTTTGGTTTCAAACTTTAGTTGCACTAGTGATCACCTGGAGGTCATTCTTTGGCCACAATCCTAGAGGCTCTGGTTCAGTAGATTTAGTGTAGGTGGTCTATCTGACACACTTTGAGAAACCACGGTAGGTTGCTTGTATGGGGGCTGGATTCCCAATGGTTCTTAACTGTGGGTGGTACCCAGGGGATATTTAGGAATCTGCAGGAGCTATTAGTATTCAATGTGTGGAGGCCTGATGTGCTAAATCTCCTGCAATATGTGGAACAATCCTATATAATGAAGAATTATTCCACCCCAATGTCAATCTAATTTCCTTCCAGAAACACTGGGCTAGAAGGTGGTTGGTGGAGGGTCTTTTTTTTTTTTTGTCCTTGGAATCATGGAAAGCAGGACTGGTTTCCTCATGAAGCCATATAGGCACAACCCTTAAGGCTTGGGAAATGTTTAAGACCTAAAAACATGATAGATCCAAAAATGACCATGGAAAATCAAACTTAGTCACCTACAACTCAACTCATGTCAGGATGCTTAAATTATATATACTGCAGCATTGGGAGCATATTAACATGGTTGATATATCTTGTGGTGGGATGTCTGTAAAGTAAGAAGCTTAGAACGTATGAAGGTGCTAAAACAGCCCTGCTGGAGCCTGGTTTTATCTCACTAAGAAAGGTGTGAGGCTAAGAGTGCTCGCCTTAAGCCTCTCCTGTCTCCGTTCCAGCACCATTTCTCATCATGCATACCCTCCCATCCCTCCCAAGTCTTCGGAGCTGTGGGTAGGAAGCAGGAGGACACAGGTGCCCAGTGGTCCTGCACGACCGCGTATAGACGTGGTGGGGATTTCTGCTCTGTAGTTGCGGGGGGTTGTCACTCAAAGCTTACTCAGGCCATAGTCCCTTTCATCTGGGTCACTCTCGTGTTTTCTCCATCGGCAACACAGGTGCTGGAATATCATGGTCATGTGGCTGAATATGATCAGAGGTGGGGGCAGAACGGGCCTTTCATGGAAAGTCATGATGAGCTGATACCTCTGAAACTTCCACACTTGGTTGGATATTGATTTTACCTCAAAAAATGTATTGCTGAAATAGAGACCAGAGAGAATCAAGTGAGGAAAACCGCTGCTTTCTGGAGCGTCATGCCCCGCTCCTGCCTCAGTCTCCCTACTCCATTCCAAGGGCTCTGAAAAAGGACCCTCTTACTTAAAGACAGCGATGAGGAGGTTGACCAGCAGGATGTTTGCCACTAGGAGGTAGCAGGCCATGATGGCCGGCACGATCCAGGCTCCTGTCTTGCAGGGAGGCAGTTGGATTATTTTACCATCCTCTCGAGTCTCATTCTGTCCACAGGGAGCTGGAGGAAGCAGCACAGGCAAGATGTCATAAATCGTGTGGCTCTGTGATAGAAACCACAGACTGAGTTGAAGGAGGGGTTTTTACATGAAGGAAAAATACAGCCATCTCAAAACAAACAGAAAAAGGAATTCCAGAAAAGCCAAAACAAACAAACGAAAGCTTCATGAATATCTCTAGGGGCTGTCTCTGCAGAGGGGAGTTGGTTCTGCCAGTCTCCCAAGTTGTCATCTGACACGAAAGAGGTGGGTGGAGCCCCCTGCTGGCTTGCCGAGTCCCTGGGGCACTTAGTGTCCCCCCAAGGAAGCCTGGTGAAGGCTTTCCCAGGGAGTGCAGAAGGGGCAGAGTCTCACTGCCCCGTCAAGTTACTTTCAAAATGTGCTGTGGAGGCCAGAAGCCGACAGCTGTAAGAGCAGCAGCCTCCAGGGGCTATTGACTCGGAATTAACACGGGGCAGCTGTTAATTGCTTCAAGAAACAACCCAGGGACTCTGAGTTAACAATTTGCTGTCTCAGTGTGGAAGGAACGAAACAGGGCAGCACCTTGGGAAGTATTTAGGGGGACTGTTGCTCAGTGCTCCTGATGGATGGCATTTCATGGGGAGGGGCAGTGAGGGGAGATGGGCCAGGACCCTGGAGCCTGTAGCCACCTGCTTTTTTTCCTGCAGCATTTCCATTCCAAAAATGTGCTTCCAGTGCACAGGGAACAAAACCCAACTGCATTGAATAAATGGGCAAATAGAGAAAAATAAAACATCTGACTGCACAGGGGACCATGTGGGGATCTTTAAAAACTGCCAATGCCCAGCTCCACCCCAGTCAATTGAACCAGAATCTTTGAGGGTGGCCCCGGCATCAACATTTCTTTCAAAATTTCCCAGGTAATTCTCAGGTGCCACTAACATGAGTCTACTGAACTAGAATTAGTCTAGAAACATTATATGATTTTTGACATGCTCTGAAGTCCAAAATACATCTCAATTTATGAGGGTTTTAGTAATATCAGGACACCAAGACTCTGTTTTTATAGCCAGAAAAAGATGGCCAAAGTGCTTCCTTTGGACCAGCCTGTAAGATGATCAGGTGTTGATGGACTCAGATGTTCTCAAGGAGCCAGCATCTTTTTTGTTGTTGGCAGCTGTGGCACTATGCACCCAAGACAGCCCTGTGAGAGGTTCTGATCATTTCCTCCTTTGGAAGGAAAACCCAATGATAGAGCCCACATTGGCTCCAGGATGAAGTCCAAGCTCTGAGGGTAGCTAGCCTGGTGCCACCTCTTGCTACTTCCCACCTCTCCCTCTGAGCACAAACTGGACCAAGTTTCTTGCAGTTCCTAGAACTGTCACGCCCTCTCTTACTTCCTGAATTTTTTTTTTTTTTTTTTTTTTTTTTTGCGGTACACGGGCCTCTCACTGCTGTGGCCTCTCCCGTTGCGGAGCACGGGCTCCGGACGCGCAGGCTCAGTGGTCATGGCTCACGGGCCCAGCCGCTCCGCGGCATGTGGGATCTTCCCAGACTGGGGCACAACTCGTGTCCCCTGCATCGGCAGGCGGACTCTCAACCACTGCGCCACCAGGGAAGCCCTATTTCCTGATTTTGAGCCATGCTTCTTCTTTCCCTTCCCAAAGGCCCCCTGACACCTTGCTCCCCCCACTCCCATGCTTCACCTGGATGAATCCTATTCACTTTTCAGTGCTTACTTAGCTTTCAGCTAAATTTCTGCTCCTTTCCAGCTGGGACTGGGATAGGTATTAACAAAGATCCTCTGCTTGACCAAACTCCACTCAGGCAGGCTCTTCTGAGCTCTTTTGTGGCCTCAACTTGTGGACTTCCATGCTTGTCTCTGCATTTGTCCAATTTTAGCAAGAATCCTGCTAAGTACGTTTAGCCAGAATCCCCAACCTCAATTTCTAATCACCATCGATATCTAATCAGTTTCCTCATTCTCCACCATCCTCCATCTGAAGTCTGATCACACTGGTCTGTCTTCAGTAAGAATCCATTACGTCAGGTAAGCCAGAACCCCCCTTACTCCTGATGTTTCCTCTTAGTGAACTTCCATCCACTGACCCACACCCAGCTCATGGCTATAAGTTTCCTTTTTTTTTTTATTTCTTCACTCAGAGTCGAGCCCAATCTCTCTCTCCTATTACAGAACACCACTGCAGTAGCCCCCCTTGAACAAAGTCTTCCTTACCATTTTTACCAAATGTCATGAATAATTTTTTCTTTAACAAATAATCTTTTCTTTAGTAATTTTGTCTTCCATATAATCCCAGAACTCCGTTTGCTTGCCCCTTTGGGGGGTTTCTCAGCACTGTATCACTGCTGCCAATTTACTGGGCTCTGTGTCCTACATAAGATTTCCAGTGGTAACATATCTCTTCCTGGTTTCCAATTACCTGGCTCAGTGCATACACACAGCACATCCACACATATCCACACATGAAAACTGTTGAGTGAATAAAGGTCACTAAACACAGTTTGGTTGTTGAGCACTAACATTCCCCACAGCTCTGCAAGCCTACTCATGATGGACAGTTCTAGCTCTAAGCAGTTGCTGGCTCCTTCCTTAGGTTCTTCCCAGAAATCCTGCCCTTGGTCTGGCAAGAAGGCTTCTCAGGCTCAACCAGATACCTGGGTCTCTGACACCCACTTGGCTGCAGGCCTCATGGAATGGCTCACTTTGCTTTTCTCTCCTCATGAAGCTTGCCCGGCCACCCTACCCACTTCCTCCTGACTTGACCTCCCTTGGGGTTGTCACTCCTGTGCTGCCCTTTTCTTTGGTTCCTGCTCAGATGTCTATGGGGAAGCCGACAAAGAGCAGGAGAAAGAACTGCTTGGGGTAGGGTACAAAGTGCACACAGTTCTTACAGGTGTGATCCCTGATTTCCATTTAACGATGTCATTCTGAGATTTCTCTTTACATTCTGGGAGAACGTAAAATAAACTTGTGTGGCGCAGAGCTCATCCAGCTTTTGACCCCGTATTTAGTGAAGATGCAGACACTTCCTCCACTAGAGAAGAAACCTTCTTCTAGCCTAGAGAAAAACCCAGGGAGAATAGTAGGTGCTCGCTAGTTTCAAGTGGCCGGTGCGCATTTCCATGGGTCTTCAGATAGTGTCATTAACATGTCTCTAGATCTCTGCTTTATTCCCCCACTAGTTGGAAAATTGGACCAACTCATTACCTTTATACAAGATTTAATGTCATCATGATTGGCTCTGGGAACTCTCTGCCAATTCTTTGGGTATTAATTTATTCCACCTTCCCCCACCTTTTTTTCATCCTGCCTTTATAGAAGTAGTATTACTTTAGTGGTTAGGAACATGCATTATAATCCGGCAGACCTGGGTTCAAATCCCAATGCCACCATTTTCAAATGATGCGACATTAGCTTACTCCATGAATTTCAGCCTCCTCATCTGTAAAATGGGGTAGTAATAGTATATATGGGGGGGGAGAATGTCAAAATCATTAAATGAGAATGCATGGAAAGCACTTGGCTCAGTATCTAGCATACAGCACTTAATTAACATTAGTTGATGTCATGACTGGTATTGTTATTTTGTAATTAATAGACTTGAAGCGTCTCAAGGTTAGGGACTATGTCTTATTCCTCTTTACAATCACTAAGCAGAGCACTTATTCTACAAACATTCATTGTGTGGTTATAATATGCTGGGTACGGGAGATGCTGGGGATTAAAGAGACAGTCCCTGTTGCTAAGGAACTCACAGTTTAGTAGGGGGCACAGAAAGGGAACAGAATATTGCATTTAACGGGTGACGTGAGCTCTGGGGGCTCTGAAGAAGCACAGCAGAACTGCTGCAGTCCTTCTAGCCTCGGTCACACTGAGCAGGCTGGTACTCAGGATTAGCCTTGAGGACTACCATCTAGACTCTACAGCAACACGTGCAGTATAAGTGAATTAGATGACCCTTGTGATAATGAAAATAAAAATGAACCAGTAAGAAACAGCCTTCATTTGGTAATATCAGCAAAGAGGCAGTGAACATTATATGCAGCAGTTAGTGCAAAACATTGCTTTGTAATGGCTCCTAGTCGTGTCCTTGCTCAGAGCATTTATCTGCACTAGAAAGTGCTATGACTCAAACTTACAGATGTCTACCCCTGATGAAGATGAACTGGGTGCCTTAAAGCCCTGACAAGCAGATTTGGGGATAAGTTATCTGTTATAACTTATATAAGTTATAGTACCAACCAGTATCTGGGGGTTCATATTCCCAGGGAAATACTCCAGGGCACACAAACCCAAGATGGCCCACGGGTGGATGTTTAGGAACGTGTGGGCTGGTGGCTGCCATTGCGCCTCCTCCTTCCCTGCTTTGGAACCTGACACGAGTGGTTTTTCTCCCAACCCTCTTGCAAGAAGTAAATGCACAGTCACTACCACCCTCATACCAAGTGACATGTTGTCACCTCCCTCTTTGTTGATGACAGTCAGTGCAGGGTGCCTCTGGTGGATGTTTGGTGGTTCCACCTGCCTAGTATATACATTTCCCCTTCCTCTGCTAAGAGCATCCTGGTTTCCCTTTGTGGAGCTATTCCTCCCTACTCTCAGTCCATGAAGTTTGGGTGAAATGAGCTGCATGCAGTTCCATATTGAGGAAATTAATCAGTGTATTAGTTATTGCAGTGATTAGTTCAGGGATGGACATGTGATCCTAGCCTGACCAATCAGAGCCAATGAGCATAAACCTTGGGACTTTTGCTAGAACTTGTATTAAAGAGAAGCTCTTTTTACAATGCGATATAAGTCTACCAAGCAAAGAGAGCCTGCCCAGGAGTGACTACATCACAGAGAAGAGAAACAGATTCCTGATTCAGCCATGCCTAAAACCAGAATTCTTCAGTTATATGAACCATAAAATTCCTTTTTTCCTTAAGTCAATTTGAATTGGGTTTCTATCACTTGCAGTGAGTCCTGGCTAATACAGTCACCCTTGCCTCCCTGTCCCCTGTCCACGGTCATTAAGGA